TGTTCTCAAAGTATAAAAAGGCTCACAAACGTATATTTCATTTGCACACAGAATTAACGAAAAGTGTCAGTTGACAGTTTTTGGTTTTGTTTGACAAGCTTATGATGGGGAACATTTTAAAAAAAATGTTCAAAGTAATTTTGAATGGTTTTGGATTCTTGTGGAAAAAAGGGATTTACAGACAATGTGTTAGTGTCGTGAGTTAGATACATGTAAGAGTTTGGTAAAATGACAAAGTTCACTATGTCAAGTATGTATTTGTAGATTCTTTTGGATTTATTTACAAGGGAAATTAAAAAAAAAAGACGTTAGGATTTGTTCTGTACATGGAATTTATTGTCTTATATCAACGAGAAATAAGAAACATATCAGACAAATAGGTATTTATTACGTATAAACCATTTATCAAGAACATGTCACACTCAGATTGATAAACAATGAACAAGATAACTCAAAATATGTTATTTGCTGTGCATTATCTTTACAGATTGAATAAAACCTAAACTGATGGGAATGTTCACCATTTTCTAACGGGGGATATCTCTGCTTGTTCTCTGCTCTATCCTGTTGGAGTTACATAGCTTATCACCAAAGCTTAACTCAGTAAAGCTCATATTAGGCATTGTGACACATCAACACACTCGATGAACAAACGATGTCCAACTTCATACATGTACCATCTCCAAGCAATCTATGTTGAAGAGTGGAACAGGATCCAGTCAAAAACATGAACAGTGTTTGTGAATAAATGATGAATTGCTTCAAAACAGCCTTGGCCATACATAATATTGACAATTAATTAGTTCTTCAATCTTTGAGTATATGGGGTATGGTAACTTAATTTAGTTTGCGGTTTGGTGTGATGGTATACATTATGTAGGATTTGTGAGATCACAGTGCGAAAAATTACATCTTAAAAGAGGGGAAAACAATCCTTATGAGGTTTTGAGCACAATGTAATCATGAAACACTAAAAAGATCTTATTAAGAAAATATTTGTATCAACATTAAATTCGAGTTAATGTACGTTTAATTGTTTTGGGGATTATTCAACACTGTCTTTTTCAGATATGTATTACTTTCTGAAATTGCTATGATTTATATTCTTTTCTTTTCTTTTCTCAAGGGTCCTCATTGAATTAGGATTAAGACTAAGATGACTTGCAGGTTTGTGCAGCGGGGTATGCAAAATGTTACCTTGTTCAGAACTTGAATGATTTGTTGTTGTTGTTAGTTTTTAAGGCTGTCCAATCTGAAAAAAATTATTTCCGCTTGGCTATACTGTTCTTCGAGTTATTCATCAACGATGATTAGATGGCGCTGTTTCCTTTTCTCTGGCTCAAATATCGATTCAGTCTTTTCAGTGTTTCAGTGCTTTTTAATTTTCTTCAACAATGCTCCTTGAATGGTTGCCATTAAGTTTCACTGCTTCCTTTTGTTGGTTGTGACCGTTAAATCGATGGTGCCGGGCAGAAGTTTAAGTTGTCGACGTAAATTGTTTGAAATTGCCTCAATTATTATTATTTTTTTAAATAGTAGTGCATGCTAGGTTCCAGACAATGGAGGTGAATGGGTCAAAGTTCAGGATGTAGAGTTGATTCTGACGAAGAGCCACCACCATCTTACAAAATATGCTCTACACAATAAGGTAAAGTTTCTAAAGTTCTAAATCTTAACTTCAAGAAGCCCTATTGGTCAAATTGAGTGTTTCCCTAATCTTGTCAATCCTAAACTTTTCAACAGAGTTCCTTACCCTGTCTAATATCGAGTTGTTATGTATACAGTAGAAAATCGTTCGCACGAGGTACTAGGGCCCAAGAAAATTATCATGTAATATCAGGAATTTAGTTATATTATAAGAATATAAAGAGCTAGGACCAACACAAATAAGCTTGCTATAACAGATACATTAATATATCAGAGCTCTTTATACTGAGGTTTCACTCTCTATATAAATGTGAGTTTCATTTACATGTAAACGTGTATACACACACGCACACACGCCCGCCCACACACACACACACATACACAGTGTTTAGTCCTGCGTCATTTTTTTAGAAACTCGTGAAATCTACAAATCAGAAAATATAACAACTGTAAGAGAAACAAATATCAATTGACAAGATTTATTCCAAACAAGTACAGATTTTTTTGTTAAAGGATAAAACGCACAGTTACTAACTTTAGAAAGTTTATATACTTTGTGGTGACACTCTGAAGAGTAGGAGAATGAAGAATGATTCAAGGACTGTAACCTACTTATTTACTCTCTGTACAGTTATGACAGCTATTGTTCAATAGGCCATTTTCGTAATACCACTAAATTGAATGCACACATGACACATCTTTGTTAAGTGCCTCGTTGCAAATTATTTCATGAAACTGTTACAAATAACTGTATTTCAATAGTCATAATAAGGATTGCATACATTCCGTGTTTTTAGGTTAGGACAAGCCATAAAATGTGTGCATTAAATTTGATGACATTATAAAAATGACCCATTGAAGCTATGATAATTTACACTTAAAACTTAAAAAGGCAATCCAACCCTTGTCGTAACTTCATTGGTATTAAAGGTGATACAAAGTTTTGGGAAATTTTTAAAATTGGCTGGATAAATATTCTGTACAATTTTGAAATATTTGGATGCCCCTGTGGATGTGTTAAAAATTGAATATAAAAATTTACCGGTGATCCTGTTAAATTTCGATAATTTTCAAATAGCGCATACGGCCATACAATATAATTGATACAAATACATATTCAGTACTTTCTTTGTTTAAGAATCTAAAGCTTTATGACACATGAAGATAATTAAAAACATAAAAAAACATCCATGTGTAAATACAAGCCATTTTCCTAGTGCTATCCTATCTTCAAATCAGATCTCTCTAATCAACCTTGGATTAATTTCACAAAATAATCAAATAATTGCATATGAATATGCATATTTTTATGTACATGTAGTTCATTTATTTCCGAAAATAAATTCAAATATTTTTTGTGTTTACGTTTTGAACCAAATTAAATAATAGTTCAAAACATGCTTTCCAATGCAGAATTCGCATTTTGAATCCTCTTTATTGTATGTCACTTTATGTTAATTATTTCACTTTGCATATTCTAAATCTCAGTTTTCTTTTTTCAATAATAGTAAATGACAAACCCCTAAAATCCGGGATAATAATATGAATGCTAGGCCCTCAGAAAGAACAGTATTACTAAAGATGAGGCTACGCTGAGTAAACAATACATGAATATAACTCTTATTATTATTGTTGTTGTGTTTGTTGTCTTTATTATTATTATGATTGTTAGTATTATTAATATTTTTGTAGCTCAAAAAGAAGAAAAAATAACCACTAATTAAATCAGATACGTTTGATTAAATTATACAAACTTTGACCTGCATTCTGAGCAAAGTAAACATGATAATGTAAAATTCTTATCTGACAGAAAAAAGTATTTGCAATGTGAATACATCTTGAGCCAATTTTGTACAGCTTTATCATGAAAGTAACAAAGAGAGAACATAATTACATTTATTTTCTATCCATACAAGGAAAGTAAATTTTTAACTTAATGACATATTAAAATCACATACAAATCAGTTATCAATTTATCAATTACCAAAATGTCAACGTTCTTTTCTGTTCAACATTATAAAACAAAGATCCTAATTCGTTCATTCATATAATTCAGTTCGTAATATAATAGTAGTGTATGATGATAACGATGCACGTTACCTCATCAAATAACATTTCGGTATAAAATAGATATTCAATGTACAGATGACCTAATGTTACTCACGGGGCAATACCAGGTACACTGTGCTAAATCTACATGCATGAATGCTACCGTCCAACTCTGATGTAGCACAAGACATTCATTGGCCTATACTGACTTTTTGCCATACCTTTACAAAAGTCCTAAAAGTTATATGAAAAGAGAAACACTTACTTTAAAAAGGTGACCTTTATAAAATGGCATCCAATCAGAAGGAGGTAAAGCTTGCGCTCACTTCATCTGTACAATGCTATTCATGTAGCCCTGGGGCAGGGGGAGGGGAAGTCACCTAATACGGTATACGGGTATGTGCCGCTCTAATGGGTTACTATTTTGCAAAAATCCCTAAATCTTTGCCTTAAACATGGGCTCTATATTCACTGTGCGTACGTTATTCGCTGTTTTCAAAGATATCACTTGTTCTCGGTTTTCCGAAGTTATGTCTGACTGTTCAAATGAATAACTAACCTACATTATTTTGCCCATATGGAAAGCATTTACTTTCGAATTAAATCATAAGCCCTTTGCGCAATTTTTTTTCAATATTTCACGTGTACAGTACATCGAGGTAATAAATGTCATGAAAGATCGGAATAGGCCTGGGATCGTGAATTTCAAAGTTGAGGTACATTCTAAAGCACAAGTCATTGTAAAGCAAAGAATCGTTTATATGGTCTGTGGTCCCCCAGCCCCCCTTCTCTCGACCTCTCTCTTTTCAATCTATCTGAAACTGAAATATTTGTGCATGGTGCACTATTTAATACTTCAAATTGTATTTCTAATCTGCTCTAGCTGTCCGTGGATTTCGACGGGTGATATAATACATTCATTACCAATAATAAAGGCCTATATATGCCTATAATGTTCTTTTAACAAAGGAGGTTTGTATTTGAGAAGGCCAGCTCAATGGAATGACCTTCTATCTTCCACCGACGTAGTGATCATCTCCCCTAAAAGAAAACAGTTATGTTCCTAAATGAATAATGATAATTATAAATTATCAACAGCAATTGTCGGGTGAATGTGCACCACAAACCGGAACGTACGAAATACCAACTTAACTTACGGGATAATTGTCTAAGATGATAACGCGGAGGGAGGTCTCCTAATTAGCCCTATTTATATCTGCTTCATGGCCAACGGGAACCAGTACAACATCGAGGCGACCATTGGATGATGCCGCGAGGAGAGGTGTCTTGTCATCATTTTCAGCCTAATTTTGATCTGCTCCTTTGCCAATGAGAAACTGTACAACATCGTGGTGACCATTGTATGATGCCGCGTGGAGAGGTGTGTTGTCATAATAATCAACCATGTTTAGATCTGCTCCTTCTTCAATGAGAGTCTCCACAACATCGTGGTGACCATTGTATGATGCCGTGTGGAGAGGTGTGCTCAAATCTTTATCAGTCATGTTTAGATCTGCTCCTTCTTTAATGAGAGTCTCCACAACATCGAGATGACCACTATGTAATGCCGCGTGGAGAGGTGTGTTCCGATCATTATCAACCATGTTAAGATCTGCTCCGTGGTCAATGAGAGCACCCACAACATCGAGATGACCACGATATGATGCCATGTGGAGAGGTGTGCTGCCATCATCATGAGTCGTATTTGGATCTGCGTCATGGTTAATGAGAATATATACAACATCGAGGTGACCATTGAACAATGCCGTGTGGAGAGGTGTGTTGCCATAATAATCAACCATGTTTAGATCTGCTCCTCCTTCAATGAGAGTCTCCACAACATCGAGATGACCATTGTTTGATGCCGTGTGGAGAGGTGTGTTCCGATCATAATCAACCGTATCTGGATCTGCTCCATGTTCAATTAGAACCCTCACAACATCGGGATCACCACGATATGTTGCCGTGTGGAGAGGTGTGCTGCCATCATCATGAGTCGTATTTGGATCTGCGTCATGGTTAATGAGAGTCTCCACAACATCGAGATGACCATTGTATGATGCCGCGTGGAGAGGTGTGCTGCCATAATAATCAACCATGTTTAGATCTGCTCCTTCTTCAATGAGAGTCTCCACAACATCGAGATGACCACTATATGATGCCGTGTGGAGAGGTGTGCTCCAATCATTATCAACCATGTTTAGATCTGCTCCTCCTTCAATGAGAGTCTCCACAACATCGAGATAACCATTGTATGATGCCGTGTGGAGAGGTGTGTTCCGATCATAATCAGCCGTATCTGGATCTGCTCCATGTTCAATTAGAACCCTCACAACATCGGGATCACCACGATGTGTTGCCGTGTGGAGAGGTGTGCTGCCATCATCATCAGTCGTATTTGGATTTGCGTCATGGTTAATGAGCATAAATTATGTACAACATCTAATTCACCATTGAACAATGCCGTGTGGAGAGGTGATCTCATATCATTATCAGTCGTATTTAGATCTGCTCCATGGCAAGTAAGAAACAGTACAACATCGTAGTGACCATAGAATGATGCCTCATGGAGAGGTGTCATGCCACTTTGATCAGTCCTATTTATATCTGCTTCATGGCCAATGAGAAACTTTATGACATCGAGGTGACCTTTGGATGATGCCGCGTGGAGAGGTGTCCTGTCATCTAAATCAATGATATTTATACATGCTCCTTTGTTAATGAGATCCCGTACAGCATGTAGGTGACCTTTGGATGATGCTGCGTGGAGATCCATGATCAGAATTTAACTGATTTTAGTGTCTGCCTGTAATGTCTAGACTGTTATAACTGAAGTATAGGTTATTTTATTAGGCAAATAGAACAACTGAAGACATTTGGACCGCGTGATTATACTTGCCCTGCGAGGTGATCACTTCTTCTCATTATATATTCTATTAATCGTTCATATCAGCTGCATAGGTACGCTCCATTTCCGAATTAGCATGATGGTCTTCCATCCTCCCATTAATGTCAAATATCCGACACCTTCTCAACGTAGTCAAACCTCGAATGTGTATACGCGGCTAAGGCCTACATATATGGCAATGTTGTTATTCCGAAATACAAGAACCCAGCGCGACCTCATAGGAAGCATGTATGATGTGACGTTTAGTACAGGCTACAATGCACGCAGCTCTATTCCCACTCAACGCACTCAACCATCATTCGCGTGTGAATTATGCTACATGCTTCCTCAAAATGGAATATTGTAGAAATGGAAATATGACTAGAATTTAGATTCTGTTTACTTTATACTCGGCTCAATGAATAGTCGACTATAGGCATATACAAGGTGGTTAAATAGAAAAGGGGACTAGCATAACATGAGGAAGAAGAATATGTTCTCGTGAAAAATATGCTACCAACATGTACACATTTGGAAGAGTTCTTTTTTTGGGGGGTAGCATTTTGTGATGCAATAATTCATAGGAGTTCAAGTTTGTCCAATATTACAGAAACATAATTTAAAAACATGAGTATTATTTTATATCTGCGTTAAAATCATTAAAAACGCCTGTAAAAAATATTGTTTAGAAAGTTAATTTATGTTCAATCTGATGTTTATTACAGCTTGACCAATGCTTGCATTAATACCATTCTGAAACTCAACAATGATTCGTGATATTCGCTTGGAGCACTGCCAGTGGATCTTAAAGGCAGACTTTACTACTTCAACCAGAAGGGATTAGACCGCACAGCGAGCCAGCGAGGTCACTGTGACAGGTTGCTATCTCATTAACTCAGCTCTCATTTAACATAAGA